TTAAGTGAAATCCTGGTCCTTTTAATTGAATTGTATGAAATGGTAGTTTACAAATCCTGTTGTAGCTCATAGTGTCCCTCCTGACATGGATTAGCTGGTCACCCTAGGTAAGAATGCAAAGATATTTAGGGTAAAAAGCATCAGCTGAGCATGAAGGAGCAAAGCGTGAATGAGTTTGTTGGGAAAGTATCAGTGTAATCAAATATGTCATGGTCAGGTAGTCGTGGTGCCATAGTCAGTGTCTGACCTCTAAGGACCGTGGTCGTTCCTGGGCCGAGGGCTTCGAGTCCTGGGGGGTGCTATTATGCAGGGGGGTGGAGGTCACATTGTCCGGAGTTTCGGGTAGGGACGTGGTGGTCAGAGGGCTGACCTCGGACTGGGGGCCGAAGACCTTATCGTGGTGCCAGATGAGGAACTCCACGATCTGGGACTGGGAGTTAGTCATCAAGGTCATCTCGGTGACGTCTCCGGACTCCAGGGGGCCCAGGAGGGTGGGGCCGAACACGATGCCCAGGTTGGCAGGGCACATCTTGTTTTCCTCATCATTTTCCGCTACCCTTTGGGGAGGGGAGGAGCAAAGAATGGAAGCTAAATGTCAGCCCCAGTTACTAGTCTACAGCATAAGGGCTTTTAGTGGCTATTTAGTGCCTGCAGAAGTAGACCAGCATACATACCCCATACCCATCATGTGACTGGAAGTGATTCGGCTACTAAATTAATTTCTTAAGGTTTCAAGGTAGTGCTTGCGGAAAGTTTTGGGACGCTTGCTCAGTCCAATAAAACTAAATATGCAAATGTATTGGTTTTATAACAAAATGTATTATTTTATTCTTTAAAAAAACATATATTACATTAGAAACAATGAGTAATTTTAAGTAAAATATGAATTTCAAGTAGTAATAAACTGCAAACCAAATTAGAATTCTAAAAGGGCTGGTCTGACTTGAAAAAGTTCATTGGCAAGCAGTCTGATTAGGTGCTTTTAATTAGTAGCACCTTTGCAATAACATAAAATGCCAGTTTGTGTTTAGTATCCCTCCGGGAGCCAGTGACTGCGATTGCAATTAATAGGAATATGGGAAGAACAGAACTGAAGGAGTCAATCAAAAAAATTATATGTTAAGCAATGCTTGTCAATTAACTTTTGTTATGAAATCAATAAATTTGCATTTTCATAGAATTAAGCAAGCGTCCTAAAACTTTCTGTGAGTACTGTATGAATCCTGTGACTGACACAAATAGATTATTGGGTCATTGTAATGTTGATATAATTATTATACAATGAACAGCCCCTTCCTGGGACCCTCTGTACAATGTTCAATGATCATGTGACTGGGTGTGTTACCTGTACAGGTGTATGATCATGTGACCGGGTATGTTACCTGTGCAGGTGTGTGATCATGTGACCGGGTGTGTTACCTGTGCAGGTGTATGATCATGTGACCGGGTATGTTACCTGTGCAGGTGTATGATCATGTGACCGGGTGTGTTACCTGTGCAGGTGTGTGATCATGTGATGTAGCGTGCTGTAGTTATACACGGGCAGTTTCTTCAGAAGCTCCTGCAAGCTCTGCACGATTTTTTCTATTGTTCCAATGGTTTCTGGAGTTGGTTCCTTCTCGGCCAAGCCTTGGATGACCCTGCCCACCATGATGAAGTCATCATTAAGGTCACTGGTCATCAACGGCTCTGGAAGCTGGGGGGGGGGGGGCACAAGGCATCCAGATATGGTTAGGAGCTACAGGAGTTCCTTAATTTGTCTGTTGCGTCATTAATCGCCTTCTTACCTCTTTGAAGAAGTGCTTGAGGACGGATGTGATGTCATGGGGCGAGACGTCAGAGAGGTCAACCTGGTCCTTCTGTGTCTCGAAGGCCTGGCAGAGCTTCTGGATGCGGGATTTGGAACCACTGACACGATACACACCCTAACACAGGGGAACAAGGCCTTTGAGGCAACATTGCGTCTCTGTCTAATTAACACGCAGTTACATTAAGTAAAACCTCATCAATCCCTCATCAAGTGGGAAAATCTTGGAAACATTTAGGTTGCAGGCGGCGGCGCAACAATTACAGTCGGATTTCAGCTATCTTGCGTTGCCATGGCGACGGACCATCGGCCCCCACGACAGTGGATGCTTTGGTTAAAACGCCCAGCTGGCTTTGACTGGACAGATTACCAGGCCAGGAATAAACTGAGGTCAGCTGAGTGGACCTCAGGATGAGAAGGGACTATTTTGGGTCATTTATTATTAAATGTTGTGTTTGTTCCAGGTTGTGATACTTAAATCACTGCACAGCTCACTGTACAATGAAATTCCCATTGCTTGTGATTCCTAGAGGGAAACCAAGGTGTTTGAGAGCCACATAAAAGCCCAGCACTGGATGACTGCCCCCCACCCCAGCGCCCCTTACCTGCACTGTCAGCGCCCGGCTCTCAATCTCGGTGGTACAGCGCTGCACGAGGAACGGCACCTTCCCTGAGATGTCAGTCTGCACCAAGGAGAATTTGACCCCGAACACTGTGCCTGTCTTGTGATCACACTCTATTTGGCATACTTCCAGGCACTTCCTGTGCACTGCCAGGCCACACTGGCGGAGTAAAGAGGATTATGGGTACACTGACAGAGGACATGTACATCCCTGCCCCTCACCTTCGCCGGCCCGCCCTCCCCTCCGCCGGCCTGCCCTCCCCTCCCGCTCACCTCCTCGCATTCGAGGCCGTTCACCAGGAGGTAGTTGTCGCACTGCTTGCACTTGGACATCTTGCTCTTTGTCTTCTTAAACTTGTGTGTCAGCGCAGCTCTGGATCGCATTTTGCACACGGGCCCTAGTGTCCCATTGCCGTCCTCAGTGGGATCTGGCGCAGAGGACACAGGACACAATCAATGTACTAATCACTATTAAGTTTATCTGAATGAAGTCCAAAATATATTGTACCTTTATAATGTTATTCCAGGTATATGAACTGACAGTGTTTTTTTTTTGTTTTTTTTTAAAAGGAACAGCAGACATAACATATTCATATAAGCTTGCTATTCATTGGTGGATGCTGCTGTCACTCACCCATTTCATATGAAATCCCCGGCTCTTTGTCCTCCAGGTCATCGGATGACATGGTGCCGGTGGAAGGTGCTTTCAGGAGCTTCCGGGCTGAGAAGCAAACACCCACGCAAGTCACATCACTGGAAACACTGCACCCCTGCTCATATAGGCTGGGCTATTAAAGGCTGCCTATTGTATAGCGAGGGCTTTGAGCTGCTGGATATGTGTGAGAGGCAGAGACCCTCACCTGGGCTGGTCAGAGACTCCATACTCCCCCCAATGCTATCAGAGTCACTGCAGCCGGCCTTCTCTGTGGAAGCACATCACATGACGTGTGATAAACACAGCTTCCCAACCAATCAGACGCGAGCATTAAATGGCCCCCGCCATCAGGGGAAGATCCACTCACTGCTGTCTCCGTAGCTGCCGGGCCGGTCATCTGAGTCGGGTCCTATGGGGTTGCTGGTTTTGCGTCGGCTACTAGGGGGAGACCTGCGGGTAGAGAGCATGCATGCGTCTTGAGCTGACATCCACAGTTTACTTCTGCCATTTCCCTGACGTGGCCCACAGTGGATTGTGGGAAATTCTCTCACTCCACCACCCGCGATCTCTACCTCCATCACAATAAGCCACATTCAGTGCCAGTCAACCTAAGCACAAGGGCAACTGCAGTGAAACTTGCCCAGTGCCCCCCATGGGATTCAACCAAAACTGAAACACCTGCTTTTAGGTCACAATCATTTAGTGTAAGGTTTCCTTTTTTGGGCAATATAGCATCAATTTGTCTTGAGAATGACAGATGCCAGTCCTGCACATGGCCAGGTCACTTTGTGCTGGAGGAAGAACATGTTTCCTGACTCACTCCTCCAAAATACCCCAAAGTGGGTCAATAATATTTAGATCTGTTGACTGTGCAGGCCATGGGAGATGTTCAACTTCTTCATGTTCACCAAACCACCAGTCTTGCCGTGTATATTTGTGCGTTATCGTCCAGATACACAGCACCATCTTCAGGGTACAGTGTTTGAACCACTGGATGAACATGGTCTTCCAGATTGGTTCGGTAGTCCTTGGCAGTGACTCGCGCATCTAGAAGAAGCAGTGGACCTAGGGAATGCCATGACGTTGCAGCTGAAATCATCACTGATCCAGTGCTGCAGTGTCTTAGGGGCTTCTCCACACTGCAAATCTCCGAGATCAGAGGAACAGAGAACAATACATGTTTCACATTGTCCACAGCCTAAGTTTTGTACGTCTGCTACCACTGGAACTGACATTTGGCATTGGTATGAGTGACCAAAGGTTTGGCTATAGCAGCCCGACCATGAGTATTGACCCTGTGGAGCTCCTGATGAACAGTTTTGGTGGAAACAGCGGACTGGAAGTATGCATTTAATTCTGCAGTAGGTTGGGCAGCTGTGGTTTTATGTGTTTTGGATACAATCCAGGTCAGTACCCGGACATCCCTTTCAGACAGCTTCCTCTTTCATCCACAGTCACTCCTGTTGGTCCGTCCTTCGTGGTGGTATGCAGACATTACCCTGGACACTGTGGCTCTTGATAGATCACAAAGACTTGCTGTCCTTGTCACAGACGTGCCAGCGAGACGCGCACCAACAATTTCTCCAGTTTTGAGCTCCCACTGTGTAATGTGGATTGCGATATTTTGCGTACATCTGTGCTATTGCTCTGCTAATTCAACCTTCAGACTCTGCTCTTACTGATGGACTGTATGATGGGTAAAGATTGGCCACCAGGCCGTGCATATATAAGCACGAAGCCTCAAACACTATACTGGCCAGTGTTTCAGTTTCATTGTCCAACTCATGGTTGTTCCTTTGATGCCTATGCTAGTAGTTTGCCAAGTCATGCCCTTCTTCCTCCCGTGCCCTAACCCTGGGGCTGCCCACTCACCTCCTGCTCTGTGGGGTGAACTCCTGGAAGATGTAGGCCTGGAGCGGCTGGGGACGGCGCTGCTGCTTCAGGATGTAGCTGTGGTACGGTTCGCCGGGCTCGTAGGGCCGGCAGGTCTGCTCCAGGCTGAAGTAGCCCTGGGGGATGGCCTCTGTGTGCAGACGCAGGTGGTGAAACATGTTCACCGTGGCCTGGGAGCGGGAGGGAGGTGTGAGGTGAGGGTTACACACCGTTAATGCAAAGCGGTACTATCAGCCTAAAGCTCTGAGGTAAACAGATGAATTTTCCCACAGTATCTGGACGTCCTGCAAGCTTTTCTGTGGACTGTGCTTCTAACACCTAAGTGGCACGCGATACTCGCTGGTACGTCCATGCCATGGTTCCTCCGACCGTGATCGTGCCTCTCTCCCCTGCCCCCCACACGCTCACCTCCTTCAGCACGGTGTCGCCTTGCTGGATGAGCTTGCGGATGTGGGCTATGATCTTCTCCTTCACCCTCTCCAGATCCTCCTGGTGTGCGTTGGCGTCGGTCACACACTGCCGGTACTGCACCTCTGCCTCCTTCATCTGACACACACATACACACACAGAAAAAATATGAACACATGCAAAATATACACATACACACATACATGTAAACACTGACAGACATACACTCAAGCAGGCAAATAAAAACCTAAATATACACACATATAAAATACACAAATATCACACAGAAACACAGACACGCACATACATACACTTATGGGCACACAGAAAAACATGCATACATTGCTACCCAAACAAACAATATAATGAGCAATTTCATTAGTGATCTTAAGAGGTTTTCCAGATGACAAGAAGAAATACGGCGTGAAACATGAATTTGGGAGGGTGTATCGAGGCAGAAAGATTGGGGTCTGTGAGCTTCATGCTCCGAACACTCACAGTCACTGAAAGTGCACGGTCAGAAAGTACACTAAATAAAATAATCAATCAGTCACACACTGTAGCTCATTTTCCCACGTTAACAGCTTCTCTAAGGACTCAACCAGTGAATAGCAATGAATGACACATTCTGCAGTGTGCGTGCGGCACTAAATGCAGTAGAATTGTTTAGTGTGCAGGTCATATCTGTGGGGGGTGGGGTCTTTACTGCCCCCGTGTGGGTGTCACTGTGTCGTCTGTTTGCCTGCCTTGGTCTGCGCCTCATCCCTGGACTTCCTGCGCTTGTCGAGCGTCTTGTAGCCGCCCAGCTCTTCCTCGGCCTTGCTGCTCATGGCCTTGGCCTTCTCCAGGTCCTCACAGCGCTGGATGTACTGCTGCCGGGCCTTCTTCAGTGCTGACACTGCCTCGTGCTAGTGAAGGGGGGGTGGGGGGGGTGGGGGGGCTGAGCTTATGGGGCTGGCGGTTGGTGTCTGCGGCTAACGTGAGCCTCCAGCTGGGGCGCTTGCAGGGGCGCGCGGGGCGGACCTTACCATCTTCTTCTGCTCCTTCGCCCACTGCTCCTTGAACTCCCGACGCCATTTGTCTATTTCGTTCTTCTTGGCTGCGAGAGCCTAGGAATGGAGAGAAGGCAGAAGAAAGGGAGAGAAAAGGGAGAGAGAGAGAGAGAGAGAGAGAGAAAGATTAGGAGTGTCTGTGTGACATTTACGGTGCTTTTCCAATGGCATGCAGGAACCGAGCTTCAGTTTTCCCATTATTACTATTATTATTCTTTTCTGTGTGCTAATGTCTGCTAGCACGTTTGTGAGAATCGCTATGTTACGTCAGCATCAAACGCTACCAGAATTAGCATTGGCTTACATTAATTTGCATTAGGGATCCATTCCATTCAGCTGTTCTATAGTACATTTTTAAGTAGGTGTATCAAAAATGCATCAATACATCGTGATACTAATAGTATATATAATATGCCCTTTTTAATGACACGTTATTGACCGCTTGTAGGGATATACGCTTTTCACCTTGCTCTCCATGACACAGACACATATGTAGGTGAGAGCGAGCTTGGCAGTGAAGAGCAGCCACCAGAAGTGGTGCTGAGAGACCTAGTGGCTAAGGGCCACCGGACGTGTGACTAGCTGCTGAAGCCGGGCTTGAACCGGTGACCTTCTGATCACAGGCACAGAAGCTTAGGCTGCTGAGCCAATACGCTCTTCCTTTCAGAGAATCCATGCATATTGATGTAGATCACCAGTCTCTCCATGCATTTCGACCAATCAGATGGTGCCAACACAACCACCTCGGTTTGGTCACGCATTTGGTTCTCTGATAATTTACAATGGAAAACCGCCCGTTCGGGGTCCGGTTCAGGTCCGGCTGGGATTATTCAGACTCTGATTATAAGCTGCTGGCTCTCTCTCGCCCCCTGCTGGTGAATACCTGGTAGCAACGCTGATGCAGCATCTCTCCAGTCTTTTTGGCCTCTTGGCTGTTCTTCATGTCTCGCTCCATGACCATGATGTAGATGTACTGCAGAGGCATAGAGTCCTGGGAGGGCCCCACACACACAGACACACAGTTAATCACATGATAGAGTCGTCACCTTACAGACAGGCAAGCACAAAAGCATCCTACTGTTTTCATAATGATCTAGAAGCTTCTTCAGGAAAAGTACGCAGTGAAATAGGAAAGACTGACTGGCAGTCTATGGCAGGAAGTTCACACTTTCACTCTCTCGGGCTGATTTTGAAGCCATCGGTTTGTCTGCATTTGATTGCTTTGGTCTAAGGGGGAAGGTAGGGGGTAACCGGCACAAGCTTGGAGAAAGCATGGAAAGTCCACCCCAGCCGTGGCAGGACTAGAATGCTGGCAGCGTGGAGAGACGACTATGTGCAAGGAAGTGGAAGAGAGACGGGTTCGAACCTGCTGGGAGACGCAAGATTTGGCTGCTTCTGCTGCCTTGGTGACATTCTTGGCAAACTCTTGCTCTGCATGCGAAGGGGAACATGGTTATGGAGGTGGAGCAACAGGCAGTGACCCTGCTGGGGACACGGTGACAGGGCGAAATCCATCCCAGGAACCACAGAGAAGAACACACCCTGAACGCGTGATTAAGGAACTCAGGGGAAAGGTTTCTGTTCGACTTCCGGGACAGGAAGCTGAATTGCTCATACTTCATACACACGCACAGATGTACCACTGCGTAATGTTTGAAGTTGCTAAACATCCATAATGAAGCAAAAAGTTCTGGGGGGGGGGGTGAAGAATATAGAGGAGCCTCAGGAAGAGGGCTATCGCTTACTGACTGTGGCTGTGCACTGAGTACGGATCACCGTGCGACTAACAGTGAAGGGGTGAGAGGGGAATCGGCAGCTGGAGTATTATTCTGAGTGGTGCAAGACCTCTCACATCTGCTGTGAGAGCAGGAGAGGATAGAGAGAAAAAGACATTCATTATGGACCTGTCCTCCCCTCAATCACACAGACAGACAGAGAGGACAGGTCCACAGTCAGACCCAGAGAGATGGACAGACTAAGAGAAGGACAGATCCAGGATCAGTCACATGGAGAGAGGACAGGTCCACAGTCAGTCCCAGAGAGATGGACAGACAGAGAGGACAGGTCCACAATCAGACCCAGAGAGATGGACAGACAGAGAGGACAGGTCCACAATCAGACCCAGAGAGATGGACAGACAGAGAGGACAGGTCCACAGTCAGACACAGGGAGAGATGGACAGACTGAAAGGAAAGGTACACAGGCAGACACACAGAAAGATGGACAGACTGAGAGAAGGACGGGTCCACAGTCCCACACAGAGAGGTGGACTGACAGAGAACAGGTTCGCAGCCAAAAACACAGACACACATGGACGGACAGAGCAAAGGCTGGGGACCTTACCTAAGCTGAATCTCTTCTCCATCCAAGAGAGCAGTTCCTTAGCATAGCGGCACCACATCTTGGAGTACTGCAGGGCCAGATCCACGCCGCCCTCGCAGCGGCGCAGCAACAGGTCTGCATGCTGGGCTGAGAGGGAGTGTATCAGCATAACTGCGGGTCCTGCTCATCCACCCCGCACCCCCACGCACACACACCCCACAGCGCAGATCCTAAAAGCCGTTCCCGATCGTGGGGGTGAGGTTCCGTGTCACACGCCCATAGGCGTTCAGCAAACAAGAAAGCAATGTCCTCCAAACACTAGAGGGCACTGGTGAGAATCCAGCAAGGCACAGATAGCAGAATCAAAGCTATTGCCATGTTCCAGGGAGGAGAAAAAAAGAGGTGTAATCCTGTCTTGTCCTTGGTGCCAAGCGACAAGATGGGCCTGTGAAGAGCTGTGAGCTTCCTCCAGAAAGAACAGGTTGCTGAATGGCACTGGCTTCTGGACGGCTTTGAGGAGGGAAATCCCCTCAGTGGAAGGATCAGCACAGAGTCCTCTTCAGGATGCTGAGGGGGGTCAAACACCCGAACAGAAATTCACGTCCAGCTGTCCTATAGTGGACAGACGGAGGATCTGAAATAAGACCAGGGGCGGGAGCTCGAGGAGTCGACTTTCCTGATTGGCTCCTCACCTGTCTCCTGACCCCGCCCACTCTGCGCCTCCCACCTCCAGGCCCCGAGTGCTCTCCTGGTCACCACGGAAATGACAAACTAACCAGTAGTTCCTCCAATGCCACCACTAGAATGGAGAAGGACTGCGGGGAGTCTACTGATGTGGCAGAGGCTCCAGGTGGGGCCACATTTAATCTGCTGTGGCAGGAGCCCAGATTCCAAAATCGCCTTGGAAACAGTTACCATGCACACAAACAGCCAATCTGGTTCCCTTCTCTGTCTCTCTGACTCCGCCCCTTAGTGCTTCCTCATGAATACATCCATCAGATAGATGAATCCTCCTCCTTCCAGATCATCTTCTCCGTGACGGTTCTTAGCTTTCACACTCAAGTCCCACTTCTAGTTTTCGAAAAAAAAAAAAAAAAAATAGGAACACTGGATTTCTGAAGGAAAACCACCTCTCAGGACCTTTCTCCTTTGGTTTTCTTGCTCGGATTCCTGGTTCAAACCCGTAGCCGTCACTTTTATCTCATTTGAGATGAAGCATCCTGGACGGGGGTTCTGCAGATGACCTGGAACCTCGAGGTTCCTCAGTGGAACACCTACCGATCCCAAGCTCAGAAGCTGAGCGGAAACTTACAAAAAAAAAAAAATAGAACCGGTGATTCCTGGAGCTGACATTCCGCTTCACCTGAGCGCCGCCACAGCATGTGTACGGTGGCGTGCAGGGGTGCATGGCGTGGAACCACCCGCCTCCCTCAGTGACTCCACCCCCCTGTCATGGCAGCTCAGCCAGGGGATTATCCCAGGAGCTGACAGGCATTAGCGAGGCTCCTGGTTCTCCTTCTGGAACGCGTCCGAAAAAATGACACGCCGGCAATCGGCCGTCCTAACACCGAGCAATCTGGCACACACACACACACACACACACACACACACCTGTACTCATATTTTTGTGGGGACCGTCTATTCATTTCTATGGGCAAAACCTTAATCGCAACAATGACAACCTTAACCCCTACCCAGCCCTAACCTTATCCATAAGTAACCAAACAGAATACAGGAGTTTCAGCAATTTTCAGTTTTGTGATTGCAGTCATAGATCTTTATAAAATTGAGGTTATCCCTGACCGAAAAAAAGTCTCTACAAGGTAAGAAGTTACAGGTCCTTATCACATTGTGGTCCCCACAATGCAATAATTGCAAAAATGCACACACATGCACACACATGCACACACATGCACACACAGACACACACAGATACACAGAGACACACACATGCACACACAGACACACACATGCACACACATGCACACACAGACACACACATGCACACACATGCACACACAGACACACACAT